TGGTAAATAGTAGACAGACAAAAGTAGACAATAGAGGACTGGCAACTTCTATTTTACATTCTCTGTGTTTTCCATGTTCTGTTTGTTTGTTTGAAAGACTAAAATAAACTTTCAGTATTCTTCACTCTTACTAGCATTCTCACGATAGCTGTAAGAGAGAGAATTATTCTCTGGTGGAAATGCTATAAAACAATTTCAGACTAACTTTTAAATTCAGACCATTTATGATGACTGTGTAGAATCCAAATTGTCTTGCAGATTTATAGGCCTGGCACTTGGAAAAGAACAGCTTGTAAACTGAGATTCTGATTTGAAAAACAAGGAGATGAAATAAATATGGAACCTGAAATGACATTGTTAGTTTGTTTTCAGACTGCGACTGTCCTTTGATCCTCCTTACTTTTTCTTACTTTGTGCAGTGTTCTTCTCATTGCAGTAATGTGTCTACAGTGCCACAGAAGCATGAAGTCTTTTACAGACATTTTAGACACAAACTGTTACTCTGAGGATCTTACAAACAAATCTAAACAACTCATTTGTTCTGAAGTATCCATTGAGAAGAATTTGATTAAAATCCATAATGTCCAGGAACATCTGAATATATGTTAACAGATGTGCATTATTTTTATCATTTGCACCTTGTTCATGGTGGATATATAAATGATTAAAGTAAACTCTAGCAGGATTCTTCGGAGCTTGCATCACAGATTTTTTCCTTTAATCTCCAGTTTTTAATTGGAGCAAAGAACAAACAGCTGAACAGATTTATCAAAGAAAAGATCTGCAATTCTTTTAAATTAAGTCCTAAGTTAAGTAATGACGTGCTTGTCAGTTCTGTAGTAATAATAAGGATTTTCTATCATTAAATGTTGAAGCCAAAGCTCTCAGGAGACCAAATGTTCTGTTTATGCTAGACATAAGACTTGACAGAAACTTTCAGCATAAAGTGATTGGCATACATTGTATGGACCTAAATGTAGGATAATACAGTGTCTCAAGAGCAGTCCTGAAGCTAGCTACAGAATTGCTCAGTTGATTAGATATTTTTAAGTAGATGGGGTTGAGTTTTTTTCTGGGAAAGGAGTTCCAGCTAGGTAGTGTTTCTTAAATAGTCTATTAGTTATTTAGTGCCAAATGAAAATGGCAACCACCATTGTCAAATTTCACATTTTGCTTTATTCCATCATGGTACATGTGGTAATGCCTGGTTTAAAAGGTCAGCTAAAGCATTAAAATTCTGTCCCTGCATCTTCTATCTACTCCTCATCTACTGCACAGCTGAATGGTTTTAGAAGCTCTGTGGAGCTCCTTTCTACTTTTTCAGTCCTCTGACATTTGCTTCTGGTTTTCACTAAGCTGTTCAGGGATAACACATGTAGAATTCTAATTATGTGAGATGCTAATATTTCACTTGTAAACGCAGTTCCTAAACATGGAAATAAATATTTTAAGTGTAATTATTTGAAGCCAATTAGTTTGCTGGTTTTTGGGGTTTTTTTTTCCCTTCAGTGATGTTACATTTTATTCATGGTCTCAGTAGCAAAATGTTATGCTGTCATTTGAATTGAATTACATAGGAACAAGACTTTGTACAGGAGGATTTTTTTACAAGCATATTTGCTTGTAAGCAGATGTAATTATTTGGAATGACACTGTAACTTTTTTTATTTCTTTTCTAGGCCTTTATCAGACGCTGTTTAGCATACCGAAAAGAGGATAGATTTGATGTCCACCAGCTGGCTAATGATCCTTATCTTCTCCCTCATATGAGGAGATCAAATTCTTCAGGAAACTTGCATATGACTGGGCTAGCAGCATCCCCTACACCACCTACTTCAAGCATCATTTCGTACTGAAATTTCTCCAACCAAGGAATGGCATGATACCTTTGTGTAGTTTCCAGATGCAGACTTGAGCTTGAAGCAGTTGAGTGTTTTTACACAGGACAAGTTTGATAACTGTGTTTTCAGACTGAAGTCCTCCTACATAGTGTCATTTGTATGATTGGAATGGATCATGGACTGTGAATAAATGTACCCTTCTGAGAAATACTTTTAAACATTGAAGGATGACACTGCCTGTTACACACTAACAGGTGTGTTGTGTTTAAGACTGAAGAAAAGGTTTTTAGTTTTTTCTGGGGAACATTGTAAATAATCTTTTTAATACTTAAAGTACATTTGGTTGATACTGGAAAGTTCTAACATGAAGGGTAGTTTTTCATTATTTAAAAAAAAAAAGGGTAGTGAACAAATTTGAAAACAGGAAAAATTCCGTGCCTGATCATAAACTAAATAAACTGCCATCTTTCCAAGACATTGGTCTTCTGAAACCAAAGTAAGGAGTGTGAGACAGTTGAAGATATGTTCTGTGTCAGATTCCTCAGATAAAATTGTAGTATTTTATTTGGCAACTCAGGCTTGTACCTCCAAAAATGTGGTGGCGTTTCACTGAATTTAGATTTGGAAGGGTGATATGGAATTCCTGGTACTTACTTCTCAAATAGATTGCTAATTTTGAAATCTGCTCAATTTCCTAAAAATACTATACTTGCTGTGGTATTGAAACTTGTGTAACTTTCCAGACTTCCGATAAAAGCAAGCAACAGTATGAAACCAAATGCAAACAGGTCATGTATAATGTTCTATGCAGGAATAATGATAAATTCCCTTCTAGCTCTATTGTAAATTGTTGTACAGACGTCACATTTTCAGTTAAATTCCAGCAACTTATTCCTGTACAAATGTTTAAAGTATGGCTTTTTCTAATTGGATATTGTATTTTTTTTAAGTCTCCCTCAAGGCGCTTTTAATTGCTGCTAAATGACGTTGCTTTTACTTTTGCGAAAGAATCAAATGACCTCCTTAAGGTGCAAGTCAACTGTACGTTATAGAGAGATTAAGAGTAAGTAATTCATTAACAATCAAGGCATGTAAAACAGATCTGTGTTGGCGATATACAGTACAGTTCTTTAAGCCAGTTTATTGCGTTCTCAACATGCAGAGCGCATTGATACTAGATGTAGAAGTTGCTCATGGTTATTCTCTATTTCTGGAAGTTCCTATCAACAAGGAAATGTTTCTTGTGGCTTGTACAGATATTTTAAAATGTGAAACATTTTCTAACTGCCTTGTATGGTAGAAACTTACTTTTCAGAACAGTGTATCTCTCTCTCATTCACTATTCTTTTTACTATCCCATTCTTGATGCTGAATACCTATATGTAATTTTGTCCATGTTGCAGAAGAAGGAGGCTGTATTACCACCGGTTTTCATTTAGTATTGTACAGTTAAACTGTTGCTCTTGTTTCTGATGTTGCAAGCCATTTTGTTTTCATTGTATATAAAGAAACATTAACTGTCTCTTTAAGATGCTGCTGAAATTGTAGAGAATGTAGCCAAAACAGTAATAAACAATGACAGTTGAAATTTCAAGGTTTTCATTATGTGCCTTTGCATTTCAACAAAGGGCGAATGAGCTAACCATATCACTGAGCTACACTTAGCTATTGAAAGCAAACACTCTTCAATTACAAACAGAAGGCCAATAATAATCAAAGTAACATGGAGGTATAAGGGGAGGATTCCGTGAAACTTGAAACTGTCATAATGACGTATGTCATAATGAAGTAACTAAAGCATTGTTTCACTGAACAGACCTCACAGAAACAACTTCAAGTATTTCAACAGGTCCTTCTAGAGTTCTTTAACTGTGGAATAAAATTAGCTCATAGAGTAAAATTGGACTCAAATACTCTTTCTGCCTTATATTCACCAAAGTACTGGGACTGCATCCTTTCCATCCTCCACAGTGTGAGACCAGGGGCAGGGTTCAAGGAAGGAGCCTACAGCTCACATTAGATTTCATTTCTTCTTACTCTTCATGTATCAATATTGGAAGTTAAATTGAAGAATTTGTTATGGTTACGCCTAGAAAACAAAAGTTTGGCAATGTATTAGAGAACTAAAGTAACTAGAAACCTTACACCTACCTAAAAACTAAGGGGCTTTATGCATTGCATTAATTATGTACAGAGTTGTTTTTCCTGTTGTTAGCATCTGGGAATAGGCTGTTGTGGCTGAATACATGGCACTTACACTGGTTCTACAAGTACACATTTCTGAAACCTAAACCCTCACTTTAAACAAAGTTCCTTATAGAAATACATGAAAGAAAAGGATAGTTGCCATTTTCTCTTTTGAATCATGGTTGTAGTGTGTATTGGAGGTTTTTGCCTCTTAATACGCACAGTTATGTTTGTGTTAGCATCTTAGAGTATTGTTAATAAAAATTTCATATCCCCACATGGAGTCATTCTGTGATCACAAGAAGACATCTGAGTTGGTGTGTTTGGTGCCTGGTGTTGAGTAATTTGTGCTTGGGATAGAAATACCCTAGAGGCTGAGTCCAGAGGCCCAAATTATTGCTGCTCGTGAAGGAATGCTGATCCACTCCCAGGTAATCAGGGCATTGGTGGTTCAGTCTGTACTTCATGCACATTTTACTAATTTTACAACATCATCCATCACTAGATGTCCTAAGCTCTCTTGATTTAGCAGCAGGTAGACAAAAGGAATAAAGTTAAACTTCATCAGGCAGGTTTTAATGAACCTTGGAAACAGCGGGCTTCTTGTACTTGAAATTCATAAATACCTCCCAATTTTCTGCATTTACTGTGTTTTTACTGTGCGTTTACTGTGTAAAATACTACACTGCCTTATAAAAAAACAGCCTACATATGAAGTAGGTGACTATAGGAGAAGTTCTGCCCTTTTAACTATGATTGTAGCGCTACAGGTCGTTGCAGCCAGAGTGAACAACGTTTGGCTTGTTTCTGGAAAGCAACCATATTTTGTCATACTCTTATTTATGTTTGCACTGAAGTTGCTCGGATTTCAGTGAACATTCTTCACCCTGAGCTTGGTCTACACTAGCTGATAGGTACTGTTTTCATGGAGGCCAGTTAATATTTTCATTTTCTAGAAAGTGCTTTTCCACTCACAAGAGGACTGGAAGGGCACCTCCTTGCTGGCCGGCTGCCCAAGTGCTATTGACTGCACACACTTTGCTATGAGCAAACCGCTGCATAATCAGAGAGGCTTTCAAAAGCCCACAAAGCCGGGAGCCCTCTCGGTATGCGAGTCACGGGTGTGCGAGGTGCCGAGCTGCTGCGGGGGCCAGGGGCTGCTGATGGTGGCCTCAGCAGGTGACTGGCTAAGCGTACCTAAAAGGAAAGCGTGCCCTGGGGTCTTGAGCATCCTGGGTGCTCCCGCTCCAGCTTCGACATCTTCCCATTGAGGAAGCCACAGGTCTGAGGCAGGGCCACCAGCCCGGCCAGGCCTGCCTTCCACATCCCATCAGCTCCAGTTTGGGAAGCAGATACAAGTATCCAGCCATGCTGCTGCTCCAGTCCTGCTTCAGACTTCAGCTCTGCTGGGGCTGAGGCTGCTCCTAGCATCCTGGGTGCTCCCGCTCCAGCTTCGACATCTTCCCATTGAGGAAGCCACAGGTCTGAGGCAGGGCCACCAGCCCGGCCAGGCCTGCCTTCCACATCCCATCAGCTCCAGTTTGGGAAGCAGATACAAGTATCCAGCCATGCTGCTGCTCCAGTCCTGCTTCAGACTTCAGCTCTGCTGGGGCTGAGGCTGCTCCTGTCACAGCACAGAGGAGCTGCGGCAGCCTACGGACCCG